TCTCTCTCTCTCTCTCTCTCTCTCTCTCTCTCTCTCTCTCTCTCTCTCTCTCTCTCTCTCTCTCTCTGGTTAGGATTAAGGGGACATTGTGCAGAGACTGTTTGAAATTTTTGAAGAGAGAATAAACGATTGTTTTTTGAAGAAGGAAGGTTGAATGAGGGTTTGTTAGCGTCAACTGAAAAACCCTAAAGTCGTCGTCATCGACCACTCGAATTAGGAGGGGAATGTCAATCGCAGATCCTTGAAATCGACTTTGTATCCTCTCAACTAGATCTGATTTATCCGGATTTGAATTTTGATTCAGAAATTTGCAGTGGCAGCTGGTGGCGACGTGCGATAGGAGGCTGCTCCGGCGGTCTCTTGCTGCTTCGTTCCTACTTCTGCTCGACGGAAGTGACGAGTTGGAGATGAAAGGGAAAGGATTTCGACAATAGCAGTTATGGAGGATGGTGGCAGTGGGTTGCCGGGTTTCCTTCTTTCTCGTTTTTCCAGCAACCTTGGTGGGAGGAGGTGGTTGGAGGAACTGTGGATGGCGTCTGGTGGTGTTTGAGGGTTCTTGGGTGGTGTTTGATTAATCTAACTGTAGGGGATATAAGGTGGAGTTTGTGGTGGGTTATTGGTGTGGTTCATGGTGGTCAAAAGCCACCAGTGGTGGTTTTTAGTGGTGTTCGATGGTTACAACAACAACACCACCACTCCTTGGTGGTGCTTGTTCTCGGCAGTGAAGGAAGAAAGGTAAACAAAAAACATGAAGGTTGGGTAGTATTTAGTGGTGATTTTGGTCAATAGAGGGTGGTGCAAGGTGGTCCTATGGTGGGGTAAGGGGGTGGTGAGTGGTGGTGTTTCAGAACTGATGAATTTGGGTTGTAGATTTGTGAGGCTTTAGAGGATTATGCCCTATATTTAACACCATTTCAAGAAGATGAAGGTGGTGAATGGTTACGAGGAGAAAAAGAAGAATTGATTAATTTTCTTTCATTCACTTGTATATCGCTTCAATTTGATCAGGGAAGGAAAGTGCTTTAGCATGTTTCCTCATAAGTCCATTTGACTTTCACAAGTCAAAGACGGAGAGAGAGAGAGAGAGAGAGAGAGAGAGAGAGAGAGAGAGAGAGAGAGAGAGAGAGAGAGAGAGAGAGAGAGAGTTTTTGTATTTTCAATTAGTTAAAAACATTAATATAAATAAAAAAATGGAAAAACAAACTATAAAGGCATACTGGTCTTTTTAAGTAGATAGGGACCAAAAACGATAGAAATATCCAATTTTGGACCAGTGGTGCACCAACGTTTCGTTTTAGACCAAAAACATATAAATTTGCCAACCACAGGGACCATTTTTGCAATTGTCTTTTAATGGATAGGAATATTTATAGACATATAAAAAATAGAAGGTAATTTAATTTCTCAAATTCTTTGATGAAGGAAGGGGGTTGTATGAAAATATAATTGATGGTGTTTTATGTGTTGGTTGTTACAGGCAAGAGCAGCGGCTCACATTGAGAACAGTGGGCGGATGGAATCTAGTGCAATGCGCTTACGGACAAAAATCATATCAAGCAAAGCTTTCATAAGTTGTACATGTGCATTAAAATTTATACTATTAGCTCCAGTAGTTTTGAGAGACAAACTGTAAGTTAACATTTGTATATATTTATAATATGTTACTATATAAATCCCCAAAACATAGTCGTTAAACGCATAAAATACTGTTCTGCATATTAAGAGATTTTTGCGAAGCGTATTTGAATTTCATGAACCTTCAATACTATCTAACTTTTGTTTCTTGTATGTTTAGTGGGGCAAGAGAAGACATTAATTAGATCATTTTGGAAAAGATCAAGTCCATTCCATAATAACATAAGAAAATTGAAAGAGAAAATTAAGGAATTAAAAAAGAGTTTAATGGTAAATGGTGGAATTGATTCCTATATTGTTCTTGGTTTTCTGCATTGAAAACGTTTAACTAATAAAATCTACCATGCAAACACCTACATAACTTATGCAATCGTACTCTTATTTGTTTTGAGTTCATATTTAACAAGTTAAAATCAGGTTTGAGCTTGCATTACTTGATAAATACTCAACAAACCTATTTCTACCAACTAATACATGATATGCAATATCTATCAATCATGTTGCAAAATACCACGTGTTCCCAATATACAACAATAACGGGTCATTCATGTATCAATTTACTCCTAAAAACAGGGACATTTTAGTGACTTAATATCTTGTCAAACCATATAGGATTCAAAATTTCAAATCGAATTTATGATCTAGTTCCTGATTGCAGAAAATTGACTCAAAATGAAATATTGAAATGCCATAAATGTGACTACAAACTCAGTATATGATTGTAGAAGCTGTTGTTTCTAATACCTTCTTATTCCCTTCGGAATGGATGATTCCAGTTTTAATCCTCTGATTCCTCACTTTTGTCTTGTTTAGGAGGTGCAAAACTCCTGCTAAGCTGTGATCTTGTCCATGGATCCAATGCTGGCCTTTGAGGTGGTTGTGGAGCTGGGGGTTTTGATTGCCTCAGCTCGTTCTCCCTATCTATAAACCTGTTAATTAAAAAACAGGCATTACTTTTTTTTTTTTTTTTGGAGAAAATGACAACACAATTGGGAAAATGGAAAGGAAAAAAAAATGTTACTCTATATATGCCATTGGTGCAGCATCACCAACTCTTATCCGAGTTCGAAGTACTCTTGTATATCCTCCTGCCCTATCTCTGCACCAACATATATATTGTTTGTTTAACTTTAACCATAGTGACTAAAAAAGTTTGACCAAAGAACAGAAGAGGTTTAGGTTTGATTTTCACTTGTATCGATAAGCCAGCTCTGTAAATAGTTTGTGAATCACATCATCCCCTCTCACAAACGCAGCAGCACGCCTTGCAGCACAAAGGGTACCCTGCAAACAGACTATTCATCAATTTTAAAAAAAAAAAGAGAGAGAGAGAAAATTATTTTGTAATGATGATATGGACAAATAAGTTCAAAACATTTCCCATCAAAGAAAAAATATCAAATATAGTAATAGAAATATAGAATACACACCTCTTTTCCAAGCTGCACCATGTTATCAGCAAGACGCCGAACTTCTTTTGCCTAAAAGAAAGGAGATGGAGATGAAATAAAATATATTTTTAAATCTTGAAATGAAAAGGAATATGTATAAGAAAGAATGTTAATACCTTGGCAACAGTAGTTTCTATTCGTTCATGCTTCACCAGTTGAGAGACCATGGTCCTGCAGAATTACAACAAAGTAACTTTTAGTGTTCTTACGTGGCATGCAATGGTAGATGCAAAAATAAAAATGTATGAAACAAAAATACAAACCTAAGCATGGAGATTCGATGACCAGTAGGACGATTCAGCTTCCTCATCTTTGTCATGATTCTTATTTCTTAACCAGATGTAAAACACCTGTAATGTGGACTACACTAAGATTATCAAGTTTAGGCTTGAGTTTCTTGTTTGATGTTTTAGGTTGGTGTCCATAACTTAAATTAGGTTACAGTTATCATATAAGCATCTTAAGAATTTTATTCAAAAACAAAAAAAGGCATGTTACAGAATTGAACAAACACATACACCTTCAAATTCTTCTATTTATCATATAAGCATCTTAAGAATAACATCTAGGTTCAATTGAAAATTGAAGCACAAACACATATGCAAGCGAACTGTTACAGAACAGAAAAATTGGAGTTTCTAATCCTTCAAACTCACATGATCAACAATTGAATAGAAAAACTGTTACAGAATATAACTCCTCGGCATTTCATTCAAAATCAATTCACATTTCACATTCAAAGGTAAAAGAAGGAAGAATGAAAGCTAGGAAAAAAAATCGAGATCAAGGGAGGGCTTGACAGCAGGAAAAATTGAACAAAAACGAACCTTAGCTGTTGGGTGCGACCGTCTCCGGTGTTGCTCGATGCGACGTCTCCGGCCGGTGGCTTCAAAGGGGAGGAGATGGCTAACGGCGGTGGCTTCACAGGAGAGAGCTTGCTTGAGGAGGCAACGATCGAGAGAAGCAGCAGTGGAGGCGTATGTTTGTGTCGCTGTATAAGGTTTAGGTTAAGGGGGTATATTGGTCAATTCCTTTAAATGGTCATGTGGTATGTAAAATTTTGGGGTTTTAGTCCAAACCACAAGTATTTTGGATCCATGGTCCTTTTGGAATGGTTTGTATGTGGTTTTGGTCCCTAGACTTAACTCCCGTTAAGTAGGATCTGTTAAGCCCCCTCATGTGCCTCACACGTGAGGGTAAATTCGTCATTTCATATGTAAGGGACCATTTTTGCATAATCCGTTTTTTGGCTTATTTGACCTCTCTCTCTCTCTCTATCTCTCTCTCTCTCTCTCAAATTTCTTCCTGGAAATTAAAACACACGCACACAACTTCATCATCTTCTTCTTTGGTCTCATTTCTTATCCTCACTATCCCTGTACAGTTAGTTAATAAACATAGATACATAAAGCCAAGTATCTGGGAATCGAAGTAGAAAATAAAGCCCCCGGATTTTCAAATCTTCCTCCCAATCTAGAAAAAAAAACCCAAAATTCTCATCAAAATCAAGTTTAGATAAAAAAAAACATACAGAAAGCCATGTATCTGGGATAGTTGACAACTTAAAGCTAGCCCCCCTGCACAAGATCGTATCTCTCAGACCGTTGTGAATTTACACCCAAATGCAGGTTTCCGGCGATGGGGTAATTGTGGAATGTCTCTCTCTCTAAGGACTGTTATTGCCTCTCGATTATGTCACCATGTTCATATTCAATCTAAACAATGCTTTCCAGAAGAAATCAAGCACGTAGAAGAAATAATTCACCCATGATCAGAAGAAATCAAGCACGCAGAAGAAACCTATGAGGTTACTAGTTCATCAGGTTTGATTTCAGGTTTTGATTTCAGGATTTGGTTTTGATTTGTTTTGATTTCAGGTTACTAAGGTACTGAGGTGGATAGATTTGCAAATTGGTATTCTATTCTATTGTGTGTGTACAACCTAAA